TTATATTAATTGAACTATAAAGTATGTATTCTTGTGTGTGTGCTTGGGTACTTTTATTCATCCATTCTCATTAATTTTAAGTAATAATTTTTTTTTAGTTTTAAGTAATAAAATGCCATAATATACTTATCCATTTTACTTTTGATGGACATTTATGTTACTTTCAAAGTGATTTTTGTTACAGCTGTGTATATAGCCATGCCTGTCTTTTTATAAACATATGCACACATAGCTATTGTGTATAAACTTAAAAATAGAATTGCTGAGCTATAGAGTAGGGTTGATTTTTTGATTTGGTTTTTTTTTAGCTTTAGTAGATATTGTTTTAAAATTTCCCAAATTGGATTACACACATTTAAACTCCCACTAGCAACATATGAGAATTCCAGTCGTGTTACATCCTTACTAACACTTACACATTATCAGTCTTTCCAAATACAACCATTTCGGTGGGCAGAAAGGGTATCAATATCTCAAACTTGTAGCTTGTATTACCCTAACTACTAATAAGCACATCTTGATACATTTCATGAACATGTGGCTCCCCTCCTCTAAGGAAGTGCCAATTCAAATATCTTACACATTTTTTGTGTTGGGCTGCTGGTCTATTTTGTACTGATTTTAGGCTAAGAATAGGAGTCCCATATTCAAAAGGTTTGTGGAATAGAGAATTTAAAGGTTAAGTTTATTTTGGTACAAAAAAAAAGTTTGACATCCACACATATGTATACATAAGATTCACTTATTACAAAATTTTCCTCTTAGTCTATTGCTTGCTTCCTCAATTTTCTAATATTAACTTCTGATGAACAAGTTCACTTTAATTAACCTACCAGTCATTTTGTTCCTTTTCTCGTGTTATTCCTTTTGTGTCAAATGCCTCAAGATCTCCTACAACTTCCAAAATGGGCTTTTGTTTTCAAAACACAGTGGTTCTGAAGAACCTTTTAAAAATACCAATGCAGGGGCCAGCACTGTGGCTTAGTAGGCTAAGCCTCCACCTGCAGAGCTGGCATCCCATATGGGCACCAGTTCGTGTCCCAGCTGCTCCTCTTCCAATCCAGCTTTCTGCTATGACCTGGGAAAGCAATAGAAGATGACCCAAGTCCCTGGGCCCCTGCACCCACGTGGGAGACCCAGAAGAAGCTCCTGGCTTCTGGCTTCAGATCAGCCCAGCTCCAGCTCTTGTGGCCATTTGAGGAGTGAACCAGAAGGTGGAAGACCTTTCTCTCTGTCTCTCCCCCTCTATCTGTAGCTCTACCTCTCAAATAAATGAATTTTTTTAAAAATATCATTACATGAAGCCGGCGCCACGGCTCACTAGGATAATCCTCCACCTAGCGGCGCCGGCACACCGGGTTCTAGTCCCGGTCGGGGCGCCAGATTCTGTCCCGGTTGCCCCTCTTCCAGGCCAGCTCTCTGCTATGGCTCGGGAGTGCAGTGGAGGATGGCCCAAGTGCTTGGGCCCTGCACCCCATGGGAGACCAGGAGAAGCACCTGGCTCCTGCCTTCGGATCAGCGCAGTGCGCCGGCTGCAGCGCCGGCTGCACCGGCCATTGTTGGGTGAACCAACAGCAAAAGGAAGACCTTTCTCTCTGTCTCTCTCTCACTGTCCACTCTGCCTGTAATAAATAAATAAATAAATAAATCATTACACGAGACCTTCCGGAGCCAAATAAGGATATCTGGGATGAGGTCCAAGCATTGTTATTTTCAAAAATCATCCAGGATTATGTCATTGTGAAGCCATGATATAGAACCAATAGGGTGAAGAGATATCCAACAGAATGGGAGACGCTTGCAAGCTATCTTTCTGACATAGGGATTAGTATCCAAAATATGTCTACAACCCAAAAAACTCAACCAAAAAAAATCCAGTTAAGAAATGGGCAAAGGACGAATAGACAGTTCTCAAAAGAAGAAATACAAATGTCTAACTACTATATGAAAAATGCTCAACATCACTAGCCATCAGGGAAATGCAAATCAAAACCACAACAAGATATCACCTCACCGCGTCAGAATAGCTATTATCCAAAAGAATAAATATTTATGTATTCAGTTTCTCCCCTTTTTTGGACTTAATGATAATTTTTATATATAATTTTCTCTTTGTTTTTTATAGACTTTTGAAGTTTGTATCTTATTCACCTTACTAAAATATGCTTATTTAATTTACCAAGTGTTTTTCAGTATTCTTTGATTATCCTAAGTGCTACATTTATTGTAAAAAGAAACTAGATATCTTTTGTGATGACAGTTGCTAGGTAACTCACAGATGTCCTTACCTCAGTTAATTCATTCAAACCCATATAAGTTAACATAACAGATTGAATTTTTGGTTTCAGTTCTTTATTCTCCTTTAGTAATGTAAGACATTCATATCCTCTCTATGATCTCATAGTTGGCAAAATATACTTCTTCGAACTGTGACTTTGGACTTCGTCACATGACTTGCTTTGATCAGTGGGATGTTAGTGGATGTGACATAAGCAAAGCTTCAAAGTATTCTTACAGGATCGGGCTTGCCTTTCTATGTTTCAGCCTTTTCCCTTTTCCTCAGCTAGCAGTAGTCCACACAGGATAAGAGATGTGCAACAGAGCTGGACCCAATACACAGCATGGAGCCACATGCAAGCCATGTCAGCTGACCCAAACATTCATTAGCAAGAAATAATGGTGCTGTATTATGTCACTGAATGTTGAGGCAATTTGGCTACTAAGTTTTGGGGTGCACTGAATCAGGCAGATATGAGGATGTTCATTTTCTGAAGGTGGAAATTGAGGTTGCAAGAAGATAACTCGAATAATGGGATAGAACTTACCTAAAGACATGGTTCTGGCTGGTATTCAGTCAACACATAAATAAAGACTATAAATGGTATCTGTCCACCTTAACAAGTGATGTATAAAAGCTGCAATGATCATTTCTGTCACATAAAATAAGGTAAATTTTCCACTTTATCTGAGAAGCAGCCTAACTTCTTTTAGCTAGCATTAGGTGTTATAATCTATATTTCTTTGGATAATAGGCTTGTGCTATCATAAAACAGTTTAAAAGATAGTGCCTTATGATAATATGAAATTTTTCTTTGCAAACTGTTTTCATATAGGAGGATTTCTTAATTTAGACAGGGTCATGAAATTGGAATTTCTTTTAAAAGATTTATTTATTTACTTGAGAGGCAGTGTTACAGACAGAGAAGTCTTCCATCCTCTGGGTCACTCCCCAAATGGCCAGAACAGCCAGAGCTGGGCTGATCCGAAGCCAGAAGCCAGGAGCTAGGTGCCTCCTCCCAGTCTCCCACATGGGTGCAGGGGTCCAAGCACCTGGGCCATCTTCTACTGCTTTCTCAGGCCATAGCAGAGAGCTGGATTGGATGAGGAGCAGCCAGGACTTGAAACGGCACCCATATGGGATACCAGTGCCGCAGACAGCTGCTTAACCTACTACAGCACAGCACCAGCCCCAAAATTGGACGTTTTTAAAAAGCCTATTTTTTTACTAAATTCTACATGAAATTTAGCATGCCCTTCAAATATTACATAACAAACCACAGTAATAGCAGCAGTGAATAGGACTATCACCACAGTAATCACAGATGTTTTTATTATATCATGATGGTTGCACAGACCTAAAATATCTCAAAATGTATGCTTATCTTAGCTGGAAAGTACGGTAATTATTAGAATCACCACTAGTATTCTTAGTTAAGGAATTACTTTTAAAGCCCATATATTATTATGTTTTACTATTTTGATATGTTTCAGGCACACTGTATTTTATACATTTGAAACTTGACTCTGAGAAGAGGTTCATGGACACTGCCAGACTGCCAAAGAGGTTCTTGGTGCAGAAAAGGCTAAGAGCTCTAACTTAAAAGATCTATGTTGTCTTTTCAGAGAGCAGAATTTTGAGACCAAAACTGCTAGGATTCTGAATGGTCACTTAAACGTCTCCCTTAAAAATGCCTTTGCTTAGGACTCCGGTAATTTCCAACCAGCAAAACTCAAATCAATGTGTGCTCAAAATTACACCTGAAGAGGGGCCGGTGCCGGGGCTCACTTGGTTAATCCTCCGCCTGTGGCGCCACCATCCCATATGGGCACCGGGTTCTAGTCCCTGTTGCTCCTCTTCCAGTGCAGCTCCCTGCTGTGACCCAGGAGGGCAGTGGAGGATGGCCGAAGTGCTTGGGCCCTGCACCCGCATGGAAGACCAGGAGGAAGCACCTGGCTCCTGGCTTCAGATAGGCACATTTCCGGCCGTAGCAGCCATTTGGGGGGTGGGGGGACTGGTGAACCAAAGGAAGGAAGACCTTTCTCTCTGTCTCTCTCTCTCTCACTGTCTGTAACTCTACCTGTCAAATAAATAAATTTTTTTAAAAATTACACCTGAAGAGCAGAGAAACAAAAATTGAACTGTTCAGAGCTACTGTCAACTGGGGATTTAGCAGAACTGAAAATGTCTTTGAAATTACAACTACATATTGACAAAAAGACATTTTTAAGTCTTTATTTTACATGAGCGTTTTTGAAACAGCACTGCTGACATCTGGGGCTGAGTGATTTTTGATGCAGAGGGGCTGCCCAACGCACTGGAGGATGCTGAGCAGCACCCTTGGTCTCCACCACTAGAAGCCACTCTCACCCACCTCCCCAGTGTGCTGCAGACATTGTCAAAGCCACCAGAGAGCCACTGTCGTACATGCTATTTTTTAAGACACAGTCTACTGAATCAAGTGATGGCGATGTAAATACACTAACTTGCAGGTCATTCATTCAACAGGCAGGTAGTGAATAAGCTGCTATGTGCCTCTCACTGCATTACATTCTGGTATTATGCCAGCCTCCAAAGAAACAACTGCTTGTGTGGGACACGATGCACCTCATTTTGCTGAAGAGGAAATTTGTATCTTACTGTGAAGCGATGATTTTCCTCTTAGAGTGGTACAGCAATAGGATGTACTTAATAGTTACCATTTTGTTTGTCAGAAAGCTACCTGGCTGATGAGGTTCCTCAGAGAGAGCACACGTCCATGGATCGCAGCTTCATGGACAGGAGACCAATCAGACACAACATCTGCATGGAAACAGAGCAATGCGTTACAACCTGCTAATGCAGTGAGGCCCAGAGGCTCCTCCTTGTCCGGCCACAAGAGCCTCATGGGTCCCAGATGGAGACACTGGAGTCACTCAACTTCAGCACGTCTCCCCTCTGTCAATGTTTCTTGTGCAGTTTATTTGAAATGTATGGATAGCTCAAGAAACAACTACAGCCAATGCCTCAACTGAGGACAAAAGAGGCAGAGTGGGTGACAGATAGACTACTGTACTTGTATTTGCATGCTGGTTTCAAAGGCAAATGACCCATTTAGTTAAGTGAGAGCTTCACTAATTACCAGCGCTAGTGCATTAAGCTGTGGTTGCCAGTCTAGTTTCCTGCATGAAATAAACGTTGGCAGCTCAGTCATCACTGCCATATACTAATAGCAGTAATCATGTAATTACATACATCATTAGGTTTGGAATCAAATCTAAACAGGACCATGTCTATTTATGGATTGCTTCCTGTCCCAGTATTAACCGCAAATCGGAATTCAGTCTGACCTTGAAGCAGGGATATTATTTACCGCCAAAGGCAGCATGCCATGTAGCGAAGAGAAAGCTCTGAATGCAGACCCACCTGACCTCTTCTGGACAAGCTCTGGGCCTCAGTTTCCTTCTCTGTACAATGGGAGTAACAATGTACTTAGCCACAGCTCAATACATATTAGCTACTACGACTATTCTGCTCTAATATCAAACAGTCTTGACTATAGTCCATAATCATTGCTATTTAAAATCACAAACTTATTCTATGACCATATGGAAGGAATAGAGATTCTCAGAAAAGAAGCCTGTAAACCCTATCTCTCTCTCTCTCTCTCTCTCTCTCTCTCTCTCTTTCATTGGGTGCGGATGTAAGTGAATGTGACGTAGGCCTGATTTTCTCTTATCTCACACTGCATCTAAGTTCCAGCACAAATAGATGCAGGACATCAAAATGTGAGCAGGCTTGCCTGTGCCCGCAACAGCGCTCACTCTGCCCACTTTGGTACACACACGACATACAAGTACAAACAAGGCAGCCTGGCTTCATACCACTTATGCCTTGCATGATAGCTAATAGCTCCTCAAAGCTGAGAAGACCTGGAGCACCAGGGCAGCTACGAACACCTTACCAAAAGCCCAGGAAGGAGGAGAGCAGAACACCTTGTATTTAACGAGTGTTGGCTGAGACTTGCCTGCCACCTGAGGCCATCAATGCCCTGGAAAATCTGTCCCAGTGATCAAATGAGTATCCTTCCAGATGGACTCAGGAAGCATCAATACATAAGAGGGGCCGGCGCCGCGGCTCAATAGGCTAATCCTCCACCTTGCGGCACCGGCACACCGGATTCTAGTCCTGGTCGGGGCGCCGGATTCTTTCCCGGTTGCCCCTCTTCCAGGCCAGCTCTCTGCTGTGGCCAGGGAGTGCAGTGGAGGATGGCCCAAGTGCTTGGACCCTGCACCCCATGGGAGACCAGGAGAAGCACCTGGCTCCTGCCTTCGGATCAGCGCGGTGCGCCGGCTGCAGCGCGCCAGCTGTGGCAGCCATTGGAGGGTGAACCAATGGCAAAAGGAAGACCTTTCTCTCTGTCTCTCTCTCTCACTATCCACTCCGCCTGTCAAAAAAAAAAAATACATAAGAGGAAGTGGGTGGGATGAGCCCACCCACACTACACTCTGCCCACTTAATGCTTTCCCTCCTGGGCTGCTGAGGTCTTGAGGTAAGAAACCTTGACTGACATGGCTTCTCCCACCTCCAAGACCTCACAGCCAATAGATACTCAGTGTCACCACAGCATTCTCCAAGGTTCCCATTTCCCTCGGGAAAACTGCTGCTCCTGGAGCTTGGACTTTAAAATCAAGACTACCGGTATGGCAAGACTGATCTCCAAATTAGAATTAAAAGGACAACTAGTTCCACTCTGTTGGTACTGATAATGCAAAATACAATTCACACAAAATCTGTAGTGACAAGAAGGAGCCACAAATGGAAAAAGCTTTTGAAAATCAGTTTTAAATAGATTTGCAAATGTACCTTAATGGATCACCATATGTGTGATGATTAATCCATTTCTCCTTCCAAGTGCTCAGCTGCTAAGCAATCTAGCTGCCACACTCCCCAACCTTCCTTTAAGCATTCTGAGATTATTGGAGTTGACAGTCTAAATAATCCAGGAAGCTAGCTGGGGTCCTACAGTGTAACTCTGTTCAGATTTCACAAAAATGGTACAATTATATTATCAAATGCAGAAAAAACAGTGCTTACTTTCTGCTCATTCATTATGCAACAATGACTCCCTTTATTCAGGGCAAATAAATAATCATAAAATTCTCCAAGAGCAAAACAAAGTCTACCTGAGGCTTTGCAGTATTTACAAAGCAGAGACAGCCAGTGTCTTTGAGAAATAAAATGTTGCTGTGGTACACCTGGTAGGATGCTGACAGTGCTAATATCTGTATAGCTGGCTGGCTAACATCTTTATTGAGATCTAAGCCACAAACATACAATTCACCCATTTAAAATCTATAATTCAGTGGTTTTCAATATATTCACAGAGTTGAACAACCAACAACACAATCAAATACCCATTCACTCCACATTCCCACTTTCCCCAGCCCCTAGCAACCACTGATCTACTTTCTGTCACTTTGGACATGCGTATTCTGGGTATTTCATATAAATGGGACCATACAATGTGTCCTTTTGTGACTGGCTTCTTTCAGTTAGCATGTTTCAATGTTCATCCACACCATAGCTTGTATGAATATTTCAGCCTTTGTTTGGCCATATAACATAGCTTATATGGATGGACCATATTTTATTTATTCACTCATAAGTTGATGGAAATTTGTGTTTCTTCCACTTCTTGGCTATTATACTTTTACAAAATTAATATACAAATTTTTAGGTGGATATATGCTTTTGATTCTCTTCTGTATACACATAAGAGTGAAATTGTTGTGTGATACAGTAATACAGTGCTTAGCCTTTTGAGACTATTTTCCAAAGTGGCTGAACCACTTAAGATTCCCACCAACAATGCAGGAAGCTTCCCCTAGTAACGTAAAGTCATTCTAGTCTAAGGTTTTTAAGCCTGTCATGGTATGTCTCTGCTTCTGTCCAGAGGGAAAACATAGGTCTTTGTGAAGACTAAATCCATCTCAAATTTAAACAAGGACGTTAGCATCAGCAGGTCTCAGAACAATTTAATGATTGTGTAAAAATGTAAAATACTGATAACAGATGTCAACATTTTCCTAACATTCACAGAGCACAGACTGAATGTGCAGGCACACACACACGCACATGCTTTGAAACATTAGAGGGAAAGTGGAATTGAAAGCAATGCACATTGTCCATGAACTTTCTCAAGTCCCCTTGTATATACAGCAAGCATCATAATTTGGAACATGGATTAGTCCACACACACTCTTCAGTTCCAGAAAACACTGAAGAGAGAGCTGAGATGTGTATGAAGGAGGGTCTGCCTGGCAGGACCTGGGAAATGCTGCTCCAGGGTTTTCCAGAGTCCACACCCCAAGCAGTCATTGAGCTTCAGGCTCAGCTCACGCACGGTTAAACCCAGAAGCAGCTTCAACTGCCTCTCCTACTAACTTGCAGCTGGAGCGAGCAGAATAAACAGGAAAGGGACCTACTTTCCTGTTAGAACATAGATGACGCCCATAATAGATGGATGGATGAAGCGGAGACTCAAGGGCACAATACCCTTTGCCGCTGACAGCACCACAGTCTTTGAAACTCAAGGGTCATTATCTCTATATAACACAGCATCGAAGCCATTTGGCAAATATTGAAGATTCTTTTCCAACACTTGTTCAACAATGGTCCATTGGTTTTGCTGCCAAAAAATGGATGCCAAATGAGGTCACTGGCAATGCCATGGATCCAATAGTATAGCTCTCGCTTAAAGTGAGGCAGGGATTCTTATAATGAAACCACTCCACAAATTCTCCAATTAGCGCCATTAAACTTATTTTTCTTTTAAACTGTGTCTCTATCAAACCTGTAGCACATTAGGAAGGCTGCCATTTCATATTTAGTGCAATTTCTGGAATGATTTTTTAAAATATCCATTATTTCAGAAGAGATTTAAAATGCACTAATTGGTATATTCTGAGAGAAGCTATTAACAAGGCTCCGAGAGTCCCAGTGAATGCTGTGCAACAACATAAATCAATCCATCCTGGGAAACACTTTTGCAAGGTCAAAGGGACAGAAGCCAGGTTGAGCTGCTCTGAGAGGGCAAGATCATTTGCTTTTAGCCTTTGGAACACGGTAAGCGGTGGATACATTGCAATGAACCAACACTGGCAAGGATCTCGGTGCTATGTTTACAATTAGAGGAGACTTTGGTTTGATTCCAGGACAAACAAAAGGAGGAGAGAGAAAGAAACAGGCTCACAATCAGAAAACAGGCACACAACAAGGCCCACTGAGGCAGTTTCTGAGCAAGTTCATCCTGTCCCTTACAATTCTTTATCTGGTTCCTTTACCAGCCTCTGCTCTCCTCTCTCCCTCTCCTGCCCCTCGTGTGTGTGTGTGTGTGTGTGTGTGTGTGTGTGTATCTAAACAGGGATTTCTCATTAACACCCATTCTGTCTGAACAGGCAGTTTTCCTCCAGAAAACTCACCTCTGCCAAGGTGCCCAATATCAAAAATTCCACCACAGAAGAATGAAATTGTTTCTTTGCAATGCCTGTTCTTGCCTGCCTTCTGTTTAAACGTGAACACTCTCAGGGGAGTGGGCTCAATTTTCTCAGGAAAGAAATCTCTCTGCAGGTGCAAATCTGCAGGTAAAATCCAAGCGATAGGCACTAAACATGGGAACAGTGGCTTCCTACTCGTGGAATTATGGGCGCCTAGTTTAAAGGATAACTTCAATGCATTTTCCAAAGATTCTAAGAGTAGGTATGAATTTCTTTCCTAGGGTTGCCATAAACTGGGTGGCTTCCAACAACAGAAAGCTATCGTCTCGCAGTTCTAGAGGCCAGAGGGCTGATGGAAGTCTGCAAGCAAAGTGCCAGAGCACCAGGCTCTCCCAAAGGCTCTAGGGATGACCTTCTTCATCCATTGGAGCTTCTGGCAATGGCCATTGATTCTTGGTGCTCCTTGGCTTGTAGAAGCTTCACACCAATATCTGCATCTGTCATCACATAGCATTCCCCTGTGGGTCTCCTCTCCTTGTCTCAGAAGGACACCAGTCATGTGAGATTAAGGACCCATCTCCCTGCAGTTACAACCTCGTTTTAACTAATCACATGGGCAAGAACTCTGTTGTCTAAATAAAGGTCACATTCAGAACTACAGGGAGGATACAATTCAACTCATTAATACAGTACCTTTAGCAGGAAAAAAGACATATTTTCCCTGCACCTGGGACAGGAGGGTCAAGTATTAAGTCTCTACAAAGAGCCAGTTGCCCATCTTCATAACCTTTCCTCCCACTCTCCAGAGGAGGACACCCTGCAGGTGGAGGTGGGAAGGGCAAAGCTGCCTACGACGAACCACCCCTGGGCCCCGTGTGCCCTCGCAGCTGGCCTCGTGCCAGGGGACATGCTTCACTTGAGCCGGCTTTCTCGCCCAGCCGCTTGGAAACTGAATTCTGAGTGCTCCACATTCCATCCTTCATGAAGGTCAAGACTTCAGGTGTCTAAACAATTACAACCAACTATAAATGAGGTTTTGCCCAAGAGGCAGGACTCCTGCGAAGCAGGAAGCGAATGACTCCACTTGCATGGGGAGGAGAAAAGTCCGGGAGAGCTTCGAGGGGGCAGTGGCTGCACTAGGTGTGGAAGATGACTAGGAGTTGCCAGTCGGTGAGAAGGTGAGACAGCAGACGTGCCTGGGCCTCTATCCTTGGGATTTGCACTTCTTCCAAAGCTTCTCTTCCCTTAGTCGCTGTGGAATTACAACATCTGGAGTTTCTTCCAGCTTCCCTGTCCGACTCCTGATCCTGTTTCCTTGACTGGAGGCCTGTTCCGGAGCTCTGTCCTTAGCTCTCGGCTCCTGGCCATCAGACAGTTTCTCTTGCCCGAGTTTCGCAACTTGCAACCTGTGCTCGCTCCCAAGCCTCAGCACAGCACCAGGCTGGTGAGCAGCCACCCCGGGCACGTCTAGGTGTGAAACAAAACTCCCCGTTCACACACGTCTCCCCGATCTGCTTATGGAGCTCTCTTAGCTGACGCTAATTTAGACTTGCAAACGTTACCATTTCGGCTGCCTTCCCTCCTTTAACCCTAATATTTAATGAAGCAGCAAGAGTCTCATTTCTCTTTCCCAAGAGATTCTCACTCTTTCTCTGTTATTTCCAAAGTTTAATCCAAATGGAAGCTCCATACTGCAACTAGTGCAGTGGTTCTTTACACGTGGGCCCCAACCAGTGCCACGAACAGCCCCTGGGAGCTTGCTGTGGCTGCACAGTTCAGGCCTCGCCCCTTCTTTATCCATCATCAGATGCTGTATTGCCTGCATTTTACCAAACCTTCCAGGTGATGCTTTGGCACAGGGGAGTTTGAGAACCAGTGGGTTCTCCTAAAACCCCATTACAATGTATCCCATGGCTACCAGATTTACTTACAGCTCTCATTATTGCGAAGTCCACACCAGAATGCACAGCTCCCAATTCCCTGCCTCCTGAAGCCCTTTAAAGCTTCACTAGCCAGCTGCATGCCTCCAGACTTGTCCGCACTCCCTAAGACTCTACATGGTAGCTCAAACAACGTGCTCACTTTCTAAACGCCGTCCTTTTGAGGGTAACACCCATCCAACATCACCCACCCAGCCCGTCCAATCAGGGTTGGCTCGGGACCTTTAGAAACCCCAGTGAAAAGTGGCTAGTGCCTCTTATGTGGAAAAAAAATAAGTAAAATACTTAACAGTAAAATAATCATGCAGGAATCAACCAAATTACTGACTCTTTCCATAATAATTGGTTTGCTGCTTTTAAAATATATTAACCAAATTCTTTTTTAAAAATGAGTTTTGATGCTGCTCTTCTTTCCAAATTTGTGCTCAATAATGAACAAATGAGCCAGTTTGTTGGCTCAGTCAAAGGGAAGGCATTTCTTATTTTATTTCTTCCAGGTTTTTTCCCTTTGAGTACCTGTACAGTAGGAGATTAATAAGGTCTAACTTTTTTATTATCCCTCTGATCAACAAATGTTATGGGCTGTCTACCAAGGTGTTTAATATAAGCATGCCTTGTTCAATGCCTAGACCCATTTCTTGGAATCCAGCCAGCCAACAGGCACCTGCTGGATGCTCATATGAGTGTGACAGTGTCTTTATGTGTGGGCCTCCATCCATTAACAACGACAGCAGGTGGGAATCATACCTCTAAGACATCTCTCCAAAGGCTTTAAAAAAAAAGCCTTTTAAAATGATTCAATCAGCATTTGAACATCATTTATAAATCTAGTCCCACCTAAATACCAAATAAGAAAGACTTTTTCACACAAAGAAGGTTTTGGCTTTAAAATTTTCCTATTTATAAGTAAATTTAAACCTGCAACTAATTGCATTTGACTCAGAAGGAATGATTCCCTGGAGCTGAAGTGTTTACTGGAGAAAAACCTGTGACAACGAAATCCGTGTCCTCCACGGGCTCTGCACAGAGAGGTAGAGAGGTGTCTCTGCACAGAGAGGTAGAGAGGTGTACACGTTTGAACACCAGTGTAAGGGACAGTAGCAGCTGGCCAGAGCCGTCTGTCCAGTCACTTCCCCACAGACCCACCTCGGACAGAGCGACTGAAACCGCCCGGCCCTTTCCTTTCCTCTCTCCTAAGCACAGCAGCCAACCTCCCACACTCCGGTTCCCGGCCCCAGCAACTCACCCCCCATCAATGGGTTTGCAAGCAGCCTAGTGTCAGAAGAGCCTTCGAGCCCCGGGGGCTTGCTGCCGATCCTGCCCCCTTGTTCGCCATCCATGGTGCTTTCCCGGGCCAGCAAGGTCCACGCTCCAGTTGCTCAGTAAAGTCCAAATTCCATGTTCCCCCTGTTCCCGGGAACTCCCAGTTCTGTGGCTGGCCGAACAGCACACGTTCTGCTCAGGCTCTCCGGCATGGCACTCGGAGCGCTACCTGTGGTCAGGCAGACAGGCACGCACGCCCACGCACGCACACACTCCACCTCGCCGGCTGGCCGCCAGCCAGAGCCCACAGCAGCCCCCCAGCCCCAAGTCTGCAAATTTGCTGATGTCACGTCCTTTCCAATACTGAGACCAATCGTTGAGAAAGCCTTGGAGTTTATCAGGAAGGAAACTCACTTTGTAACTTGGGGAAAGCGAGGGGAGCTGGGTGGGTGTGAAGGAAACAGCTCTCAGGCTGCAACCTTGACCCCCCTCCCGGGATCCGTTTGTTACGTGGGGGTTTCTTGTTGTTGAGACAAGCCCAGCACCAAGAGCTGAGAAAGCTGGTTTTGCAGCAGCCCTGCTGGACTGCTTGCACAGTAACACACACTGCACACCCTGGCCATCTGCACATGTGGTTTCAATTTTGCTGGGAGTTTCTTATGGGAAAATGTGTCTATATGTTACAGAACCGGGCGTTCGTCTTCTTCCTGTTACCTGCAGGGAGTTCACTGGATGTCCTCCTGCACCCTTCCTCCACATATTTGGTATTAACTTCTGAGTAAATAATGAAGCCTTGCAATTGCATTCATGGGCTGCTGGGTGGCAGGAGATGTGGAAAAAACCTCCTCTCTTTCTATTGTTATTTTTTCAAACTGTTTTGTGTTGTTGTTGTTAAGTAGTCATCAGCTTGCTGGTACAAAGTATTTTTTTTTCTGTATCTGTCTTTTCAGATAAACCCAGTTTCCCCATACCCCTGGGTGCTGCTTCGTGCGGACGGCCCCCTCCACTCCCATTGCTCCTCTTCTTCAGACAGAGGAGGAGTTTCACGCCAGCGGGGTAAGGCTCTGAGTTAGTCTCAAACGCAGTCTGGCTGTGCAGTGGTCACAGAGTTATTTTAATGCCAAAGGTTTTCAATTCACGGGTTCTCAGTTGGAACATTTGGTAACCACCGTTAAGGATTGGAAGAGGCTTTCTTATTTTAAATTCATTTGTGTGCACATGCGTATGCACACTTATCCCCCTCTATTTTCCATGAAATGTAATTACAGTAACCTTTGGTTCTATGCTTTTTACACTGATTTGCTCTGGGAGAGCTTTCCATTTCAGTGCATATAGCTTTGCTGTTTCTTTAGTTAGTGCTGCCTAGCATTCCATAATATGCCAAAGTATTTGATTATTCCACTAATAATGGAAGCACTGTGTTACCATTTCTTTTAGTACTTACAAAAGTACTGAAGACCATGTTTTTGTACATATGGCTTTGTGCACATATGCAATTTTTGGGAGATTCCTAGGAGTGGAAATGCTGAGTCAAGAGTATACTCATACACACGTGATATAGCATAGAGAACTGTAGACACACAAACCAATGAGTGCCTAAGACCGGTAGATTGTATGAATGTCGGTGTCCCAGTTATGATATTGTGCTATACTTCTGCAAAAAGGTACCACTGGGGAAAACCAGCAAACAATATGGGCGATTTCTCTGTATTCTTTCTGACAACTGCAGGTGAGTCTATCATTCATTCTCTGAACACAAACTTCGGTGTTAAAAAAAAAAAAAGAGGTGGCTCATTTGAAACTGGGATAAACACTGCCAAATTGCCCTCCATCTTTGCAGAATTAATGCAGAAGGCCGTGCAGTTTTCTCACCACTCCAAAAGGAAAGAGTTGAAGAACGATAAACCTGTGTTTGGCAGACACTGAGAAATTTGCTTCCAACATAGACTAGGTAAGAAGGAGTTCAACAGAGGAGCACACTGGGGAAGCTGGAAACTATTACCGTTTTATCCCAGGAAAATCTCCGTAGTATAGCTTCTTTATTTTCTTTTAATTAAATTTCAAGCTGAGATTTTTTTTCTTTCCACATTCAAATGTGACTGCCAGTATTACAATAATGATGTCCAGGTGGTTACCCTCTTACCTGGGAGGGAATCTATACACTAGTGACTAGGAGGATAAAACTGGACCATGTGGACTGTGATTATGGAGAAATGGGGTGGCTTAGCAAGACCCGTGAGAGAGAGAGAGCAATTATACCAATGTCTAATCAGCCCTTGTGAGCATCGTTGCACGTGTCTGGCTATTCAGTGAACTTGGCCCAGGTTAGGTACGAAAAGAAAATGATTGCTTGCAGCAGGTGGGAAGGCCACAGCCATGTCTTGCCATGTGCAGCATTCTCACGAGTGGAGCCTCTCCTCAGCCCTCAGTTAGATGTCCCAGGTACACCTTACCCATGGGTTATCAGACGCTTTCCTCCTGAGGCCTTGGGAAACCTCCAGTCACTTTTCAAGCCATCAAAGAGAGCCTAGGAGCTGAAAGCTCTTACTATTCCAGCCGGCAATTTTTCTAACAGAAAAGCCTTAACATCTGAAAGGTGCGCAGCCTCTGTGAGAATCTGGAATCTCAGCTTCTCAGGCAAAAAGCCTATGTGCTTTGGCTGTTGTGTAACCGCCTCTGCGTGCTGAGCTCGCTGACATTGCTGCTTTAGAGAGCAGTCACTCATCCCTACTCTGTCGAGCAGCACGAGAGCGCTCCAACAAGTTCATGAAAAATGGCATTAAAAAGAAGTTTGTTCGGTGCAAAAGGTTTTTGAAATATGTGCATATGAGGAGTCTTTAAAAATTTAACGGAAAATGCATATCATAAAAAAGTACACATGGGGGAACAGCACTATGGCATAGTGGGTAAAGGCGATTCAAGTCCCGGCTGCTCCTCTTCCCATCCAGCTCTCTGCTGTGGCCTGGGAAAGCAGTGGAAGATGGCCCAAGTGCTTGGGCCCCTGTACACACGTGGGAGACCTGGAAGAAGCTCCTGGCTCCTGGCTTCAGATCGGCCCACCCAGCTCTGGCTGTTTCGGCCATCTGGAGAGTGAACCAGAGGATGGAAAATTCTCTCACACCCTACCTTTCTGTAACTCTGCCTTTTGAATAATTAAATCTTTTTTAAGGATTTTATTTTATTTATTTGAAAGAGTTACAGAGAGATAGGTAGAGACAGAGAGAGCGGTCTTCCTTCCATTGGTTCACTCCACAGATGGCCGCAACGGCTGGAGCTGTGCCGATCCGAAGCCAGGAGCCAGGAGCTTCTTGCGGGTCTTTCCACATGGTTGCAGGGGCCCAAGGCCCTGGGCCATCTTCTACTGCTTTCCTAGGCCGTAGCAGAGAGCTGGATCGGAAGTGGAGCAGCTGGAACTGGAACCAGCGC